CCCGCCGCGCGCGAGCTCGGAGGCGGCGGATTGGAGTTGCGGGCCACCGAGGGGACGTTTGTGGTGGGCGGAGGATGGCTGGGCACGGGTTTGGGTGGCGGAGGCACCTCGACCTCGATCTCGTGGGCGTCGTCGTCGGGGTGGCCGTGGGTGGCGCCTGCGCTGCCCTTCTTCTTCTTCTTCTTCTTTTTGTTTTTGGAGGCGGAGCGCATGGCGTCGGGATGATTGGCGATGCCGTTGTTGCCACGAAGGTGATCGGCGCCGTCGTGCATCCAGACGCGCTCGCGAGCGTGAAGGAGACCGCCCTGGGCGTCGAGCACGTCGTCTTCGTCGTCGAGGTCGCCATCGTCGTAGTACTGAGCGCCGTCGTCGCCGTCATCGTCGAAGCGGTCGATGTCGTCGTCGAAGTTGTCGTAGAGCACGACGGGAGGCGGGAGGGGCTCGACGGGGGGCTGGGTGGGCGGCGGGTTGGGGCTCGAGGCGTACTGGGCGTAGGAGCCGTTGGAGTTGGGGTGCGCGTTGTTGGCGGCGTTGGGGTGAGGGTGGAGCGGAAGAGGCTGGTCTGGATGCAGGGCGAGGTCGGCAAAGATGGATGCGTCGAAGGGCAGTGGCGGGTAGGGATGGGTGCCCGGGGGATACTGCTGAAGGTGGCGCTGGGATGCGTGGGCAGCCTGTGCGAGCTGCTGGGCGACGGCGATCATGGCCTGGGTCGAGGCATGGCGGGTTGCCGGATCGCTGGCATTGTCGTTGAGGGCGGCCTGAGCGGCGGGGGGGAACTGGCCGAGGGGCAGGGCGTTGCGGATGAAGGTTCTGAGATGGGCGGGGAGCGATGTCCAGTAGGTGTCGTCGTCCGGGATGCCCTGGGCATCGCCTTCGATCCTGCGGTAGAGCTCGCTGGCTGCGGCCAAGAGCTGCGCCTGCGCCTGTGCCCGAGCGGCGAGGGAGGCGGGTGAGCGGGGAGGCTGACCGAGGGCGGCGGCGGACTGAAGGTCGTAGTCGTGATCGTCGATAAAGTCGGAGTCCTTTGCTTTGGACTTTGACTTTTTCTTCTTCTTCTTTGCCGAGTTGAGCGCGGCGTTGTCGATGTCGTGGTGGGAGACGGGCGAAGTGGATCGCGGCGGCGTCGAGGCGCCTGCTACGGGCGCGTTGTGCATGATGGGCTGGGTGGATGGCGGCTGCTGCTGCTGCTGAGCGGCTGCTGCGATCTTGGGCGGTGGCGGCGCGGTGCTGCGCGCCGCTGGGGTGGAGCGAGGCAGCTTGGACTTGGCCATGTCCTCGTTGAGCAGCGGATTAGGCGAGAGTCGAGGCAGCGTCGTGAGTGGATTCAGACGCGAGGGTTGGTTGGATGGCGGCCTGTCGATGCGTCGTCATAAGCTGATCGGGCGCGCTCTGGCGTTGCTAGACTCGACTGCTGAAGCGTCAGATCGGCTCCTCCGGTGGCGGGATAAGACAGACGCGCTGGAGTTGCAGCCGGGGCTTGTGGGTGGCGGCAATGGCGATGGCAACGACGGCAGCCGAACGAGCAGAAAAAAGAGCTGGCAGTCGCGAGTCGATGCCAATGCCGATGCCACGGCCACGCTGACGCTGCTGCTGGTGCTGCTGCTGCGAAGCGACGACCGAAGAAGGGAAACCAAAGGTGAGAGCCGAAACTGGAAAGCGAGGTGATGAATGTATCGACGAGCAGAAGGGCTGTCGACGATACGATGCGGGTGGTGATGAGAGGGATGAGAGAGAGACAGCTGCCAATAATGTGACAAAGTGTGGTTTGCGAGCCACTCACTCTGCTTGATGGACCCCGGCCCGGCGTCAAAGTGCGTCTGGGAAGCAGAGGCAGAGGCTGCTGTCTCTGTCTCTTCCAACTGTCTGGCGGTGGCAGCCGTTGGAACGCTCAGGTGAGCGAGCCAGCCAGCCTCGACTGCCACTTCTCACTCACTCTCGCTCTCGCTCTCACTCACTCGCACGCTTGGCTGCGTCCTGCTCGCTCGCCTGCCCGCTCGCCCGCCCGCTCACCTCTGCGCAGGTGAGTGGCGCCCGCCGCCTCGACTGAGCGCTGCGGTGCGCAACACCCAATTGGCTCACTCAAATTTGGCTCTCGCGCTGCAGCCGCCGCCTGCTGCTGCTGCCGCTGATCGGCCCTTTTTCTCTTTCAAAGGGCCCTCGGAAATTTGAAGTGCAATTTTACCGCTTACTAGTCACCGCGCGAGGATTCAAATGTGAAGCTTGTAGTCGCCCGTAGTGCCAGTGCGCGTTGATTAGAAATCATGAATAACCCCGTCTTTATCCAGCTTGGATTTCGAGCCAAATCCCAAATGCGGCTGCATCGAAGCGTGAAGAAAGGCGCTCCTGCCTGCCAGGCTTGCTCCCACACGCAGCCACGAATATGCCGCTCGCCATCCTCGTCGTTGGCGGCAGTCGCAACACCGTGTGAGCAATGTATGCGTGTGTGGATATACTCTTGTCCCATGGCACAGAAACATAGCGCTCTGTCGAAGTGAGCGAGTGAGCGCCGCGAGTTGGGATCCAGCTGCGTGTGCGTGTTGGGGCCAACTGTACGCCTCGGCGCCGCGCGTCGTCACTGGCGACGTTCGGTCAAGTCCACACCGAGCAACCGCCGCGCTCGTCTGTCGGCGCACCGGTCGACTTCATATCGCTGCCTGCCTCGCTTGGTCGCAAGTCGCGAGCCGCGCGTGCTGCCACGTAAACCTCCGGACGAGGCGGCGTGGGTTCGTGCTTTCATCATCCCACTCCCATGCGCCCGCGCTTATGCACATGTGGAAGGCCAGGGACCGGCATCATCTTTCCTCCATCAGCACCCTCATTGAGCCCCTGCATGCGCACAAGGCTGTTGTCCCGGCTCGCCCACAATCCGGCTTCGGGATGCGCATACAACATCATCAACGTCCCACCGGTATATAGTGCTGTCGCTGGTGTGGCCATTCTTCCGTCCGTGAGCCTTGCGACGCCAATTCCATCACTCGATCATCCTCGCCTCTTCCATGCTGGAGCGGTTGGCACGTCATCCAACATGATCCGAATCAACTGGACCGCACCCTGGGCGTGTCTTTTATGCATACTCGTCTCGGTCGCCAACGTCGCCGGCTTGCCGCTGAGCTACCATTTCCCCTCTGCCGCCTCGGCCGCCTCTGCCGCAGCTGCCGTAGCCGCTCCTGCAGCTACAATGCCTAAAAATCATCTGCCGTCGTGGGTGGTCGTCAAGCTCGCCACCTCGAACCTGCCGACCACGTTCAACAACCGGTTTGGACACACGCGACACGGTTCCGGTACCCGCATCCCTGCCTGGCATACTGGGCCGTGGGATCAGGCATGGAGTCTATGGGACGATGTGTCGACCAAGATCGCCGGCACGATTCCCGCGTCCAAGCTGCGCAAGCGTGCGCTCGGTTTCAACGTCGAGCGCGAAATCATCAACCACCTTCGTCCCGACGACTGGCTTCAACGCACAAAGGACTTTTCCCGAAGCCTGTTCGGCCTCAAACTGCACGTCACACCTCAACAGTACGCTAGCGTCGCCAGCAGGTACCGCTCCCAAATCCCCGCCTCGGCTTACCGCTCCCGTATCGCTGCTTCATCGTACCGATCCAGAATTCCCGCTTCAGCATTCCCCTACACGCGACCCAACTCGTTTGCTCCCCGCCCTCGTAGACCAGCAACACGGTGGTGAGCCACCCACAGTCGCTTCCACCTATCACTATCGTTGCTTCTTTGCTCTCCGTACACTCTCTTGTACTCACACTCTTTTCAGCTTCCGGCCCCGTCCCCAGCGTGCATCCCGTGTGTATACAGCGTGACATTGTGAGCAAAGCATCCCGATCGGCCAAAAGCAGTGATCATACGCCATACCATGCGAGTCTATTGGAACAATAACGACCATGTCTAGATGAACAGTGCGACGACCAACGATGCAGCGAGCGATACAGCGAATAAACCGCCACCACTGCTGCCCCAGGCTATCGATCGACGCGCCGAGTTGGACTCGCGCAGCAAAAAGTCGACGCCCATCGAGTTGCAGTAGGCATTGCCAAATGCGTCGGTGGCAATGTAGCGCTGATATCCTCCCCAACGCATACCGTCCTTGCCTGCGCCGCCGTTGAACCCGGCGCCAATCCCCTCGGACCCGCTATCGGCAAACGTGCCGTAGTCGCGCTGTGCCGTAATGTCCCACACCGGACACGCCCACTGGATCAAGGGCGGACAGGTACGCTCCACAAAGTAGCACGTGTAGATGCACGGCAACAGCTCGCCGTACGTACCCGGCTGCAGCTGCTCGTCGATGAACGACTGGCGCGATGCCAACGCCACACTCCCGCTCGCGTTGCTGTTGCGGTTGACAATGTACGGCAGCAGATCCTTGTTGGTGCCCGTGGGCGCGCCAGTGAGGTTGCGGCTGTCCTGCGTGGCGCGCGACTGCCTCTGCGGATCCGCCAACGCATCCGTGCACCGCGGCATGGCCACCGCGCACAGCCAGTCCTGGTACGACTTTTTGCACTTGTCGCACGTCTGCACGTACGAGTACATGCCAAAGTCCGGATCGCCACACGGAAACGTGTCGATCATGGTGCTAAAGTTGCCGTACTGTGGACTCACAAACGCCTCGATCGCCGAAAGCGCATTCGACGTCGAGATGGACGGATCGACGGGAATCGAGTACGCCACATTGGGACAAAAGGGCACGTCGTACACCAGCCTGCAGTTGTCGCTGCGTTTGGTGCGCATCTTGATGGCGGGGAACAGCGTGGTGGTCAGGCTCTGCGCTGCCGTGTCGTTGTTGACATTGGTGCTCTCGACGAGCCAGAAAGTGTAGTTGGTGCCCGAGTCGAGACCACTGATCTCGAACTGCAGGCGGGTATCATTGAGCACGTTGGCTTCGGTGCCACGTCGTGTGGCGCTGCTGTTGATCGAGAAAGGCTGGTTGCTGTTGAGCAGCTCCGCCCACGCGTCGGCGATGGCGCAGAACGACGAGTTGAAGTAGTCGGCGTCCGGCAGCGAGTACTCGCCAAACGTCGGCAGCACGATTGCATTGAGCATGGGCGGCAATGACGTGGTGTAATTGAATGACGAGACGAGCGCATTCGTGGCGTCTGTATCGTCCAGCCGCGGCCGCCGGGTGTAGTCGACCGACTCCATCTTTGCGCGGGTGCTGGCGACGACCTGGAACTGGTACGTGCCCTGGGTGGTGTTGCGCGTATCCGCGGGCGGCCAGACGCCTATCCATAGCGTCTCGGAGCTGTTCTCGCTGCTCTGTTGGACATCCACCTCGACCGATGTCCAGCCGCCCTGTGCATAGCCAATGTGACGAGAATCCAACGAGCTCGCATTCGCCGGGCCAGGCTGTTGGAACAGCACGTTGTCGGAAATGTAGAGCGCGGCCAGCGTTGATCGACGCGCCTCGGTGGCCGATCTGTCCAGCGACTGTAGCAATGTAGTGTTGGATGTGTTGTACGGAGGGATGGCGGGTCCGGAGCAGAGTGAAATCGACGTCCATACGGTCACCGTCTTTGCGTCTTCGGAAAAGGCACTGGCGGGCAAGGTGAAGTTGAAGAAGGCGCCCTGGGTTGCATTGACGTCGATGCGCGATCGTGCGACGATCGAATCGTTAAGGGCGACGGCATTGACGGTTGCATTGAGCACCGACGTTGCTCGACCTGGGATGGCCGATCTTGACCTCGAGGGCGGAGGTATTGAGCTGGAGGACGCAGAGGTGGTCGGAGATGGCGAGATCTGCTGCGCCGCTGTGCGGCCAGAGCAAAAGGCCAAGAGAAGGAGCCACACGCACCACACGCCCAATCGACCTCGCAGGACGCTGGAGCTCGACGCCCGGCCGCGGGTGGACATGATGAAAGCGGCCGACCGAGAGCGAGATGCTCAAGTGCGTCAGCGCCAAGTGCTGCGGGCCTCTGGGCTGCCTTGATGCCGCTTTGCCTAGAACCGCTGTATGGTTGCGCAGGGTCCGAAGATCTGTGGGGAGGACGCTATGGTGGTTGAGAGAAGAGGAGGACCTCTTGGCATGCGGTCAAAATCTCGCAGTGGAGGCTGTGTGCGGCGAAATGTCACCAACCGCTCGCTAAAACGCCGGGAACGCTGCGACTTGCATCGAATCTGAGCGGGAGCTGTGCAAGGCAGCTGCAGCCTCTGACTTGCTTTCTCGGACCCTGACTCCTTGATTTTAGGGCGAGTTTCGGTACCTTTTTTTCGGCGCTTCTTCAATTTTGTTTTCCTCCCCTGAGCCGAGATTTGTTCGCGAGATCTTCCGACCAAAGTGGAGGTGCGAAGCCGTTTGGGTCGTGCTCAGCGGAGGGCTGATGAAAGCCTGACCGCCTTACCAATCTCCACCTTTGTTCTTTACGCTCAAGCACGACGACAAGCCATTGAGGGTTCCAACATCCACGACGATGAGCCGCTCTGCGCTCCGAGATGCTGCGGCGATAGCATCGACCATCTGTCACATCGCCAAAGACGTCGTTCTCTCTCCGGGCGGATCGCGTGCCGCAGCACCACGCGGTCCTCTTCGTCCTTGGCCAACGCAGCAGGTAGGAAAGCATGCCAGCGATGATGCAAATAGCTCGACAAGCGGCACTCCACCAGATCGTCCCGGTCTCTCCTCGGACCTAGACAGTGCTGCCAAAGCAAGCCCTGAAAGTCGTCCTCCAGCTCGTCCATGGCCTACCCGCACAGAAGCTGCCAAGCCGACTGCTCCAATAGATGCCGCACCGGTACAAGAAACGCCGCCTTGGCATGGTGTGCAACAATCGCCTCCTCCGATCGAATCAAGAACGCCAGTAATGGGATCTCAGGACCCTGTGCCACCAATAACGCCTTCCGTCCCCACCCCTGTCGCTCTAGACCCAAGTCCTCCTCGAGTCGATTGCGCGCCGCCAAAAGTCGCGCAAGGCCCACCAAAACCGTCCATACTGCCCTTCAAGGCCGAAGCGGCAACTGATCAAGCGTCGTCCGTACCTCCGACACCGTTACCGCCGAAGCCATCTGCGCCTGCGGAGCCTATCCATTCGGGCATCATCGACGAATCCGAAGAGTACGACGCTGTCAAAGAGTCCAAGCATGTACCGCTTCGAGCTGCCAAGGTGCCTTCATCGCGCATCGGCCGTCTGTTCCACTACGGCGGTCTTGGGGCTGGCCTGGCATTCGGAGCAGCCGGATCCCTTCTCCGCGGCGCCTCGTCCAGTGCCGACGGTGCTGCAACCAACAGCGTCTTTATGTCGGAGCAAAACGTGGCACGCCTCGTCGATAAGCTCTCGACGATGCGCGGAGCAGCCCTCAAGCTGGGCCAGTTCCTCTCGATCCAGGAGACCAAGCTGCTGCCGCCACAGATCGAGCAAGTGCTGCTACGCGTGCAGAACAGTGCCAACTACATGCCCATTTGGCAGATGAACAAGGTCATGAGCCAAGAGCTGGGCGGTGCCGACTGGCGCGAACGCAACTTCAAGGAGTTTGACGACATCCCCTTTGCAAGCGCATCGATCGGACAGGTCCACTCGGCCGTGCTGCGCGACGACTTTCCCGATGCCGAGCTGGCCGGCAAGAAGGTGGCTGTCAAGGTGCAATTCCCCGGTGTGCTCGAGTCGATCGACTCGGACCTATCGTACCTTCGCTGGCTCGTCTCTGCATCGGCACTGCTTCCCAAGGGACTCTTCCTCGAGAACACGCTGCGTGTACTCGGTCGCGAGCTCAAAGACGAGTGCGATTACGAGCGCGAGGCCGAAATGGGTCGCCGCTTCCGTGCCATCCTGCACGACTCGCGCGAGTTCGAGGTGCCCAAGGTGGTCGACGGCCTTTGCACGTCGAAGGTGCTCACAACCGAGATGATGCGCGGTCGGCCGTTGAGTATGGCGTCGCGCTATCCGCAGGCGACGCGCGATCGCATCGCCCAATCGATCCTCAACCTCTCGCTTTCGGAGCTCTTCCGCTTCCGTCTGATGCAGACCGACCCGAACTGGTCCAACTTCCTCTACAACGAGCGTACGGGCAAGATCCAGCTGATCGACTTTGGTGCCACGCGCGAGTACTCCAAAGAGTTCATGGACAACTGGCTGCAGATGCTCCAAGCTGCCGTTGCGAGCGACTACGATTCGTGCCTCATCTGGTCGAGAAAGGTTGGCTATCTTACTGGTGACGAGAGCGCTGCCATGGAGCAGGCCCACGTCGAGTCCATGATCGCGCTTGGAGAGCCGTTCCGCCCGGACGCTCCGGACCCGTATCCTTTCGAGCATCAGACGATCACGGATCGCGTCAAGGCGCAGATCCCGCTCATGCTGCGGGAGCGTCTCACTCCTCCGCCGCAGGAGACGTACAGCCTGAACCGCAAGCTCAGCGGCGCCTTCCTGCTGTGTGCGCGTCTCAAGGCGCACGTCAGCTGTCGCCAGCTCTTTGAGCAGGTGGAAGCCGACTATACCTTTGGCCCGGAGCCTTCCCGAAGCCAGACGGCCAGCAGCAGCGCGGCCACCACAACTTCCTTCGGCTCTGCCGAGCAGAGGAGGCAATTTCACACCGCCTTCCGCAGGGCGCGCGAGGGGCCGAGTTCGGTGGCTCCGACACGCAAGCACGGCCGCAATCTGCTGGACCGCTTCCCACGCTCCAAAGTCGTGCTCTCGGACGAAGCTGCTGCTACCTCGCAGGGTTCGTCCGAAATTGGCGACAGGGTCGAGTCGCTTGCCGCAGCGCCTACAGCCTCGCCCTCGATGCAAGAGACGCCCGCCAACGCAGTGGAAGCCGACAGCACCGAAGGTATCGACGTGGCCCGCAGCGCAACCCCGGCCGAGGTGACGCCCGCACCAGCTGCGGCGGCGGCAACGTCGGGAGCCAACGTCAGCATGGGTCCAACAACGATCCGGGGCATTGTGATCCCGCTCAAGCCTCCTCCGCCTGGGCCCGCGGAGTGCTGCATGTCAGGTTGCGCGCACTGTGCCTACGACATCTACGCAGAAGATCTCGAAGACTTTCATTCGCGCCTCTCGTCCGTCCGCACCCAGCTCACCCAGCTGTCACCTGCCGTCACGCGCGACGAGTGGCGCACCGACCTTCTCGGCGAGTATCCGTCTGCCTCGTCTTCCGACGGATCGGTCAGCTCCGATGCCGGCAGCGCAGAGTCCGAACACGAGCTGCGTGAGCGTGCCCAACGCGAGGTGGACCGGGTCATCGGCGACCTCGATCCCACCATGAGGGCCTTCCTCGAGATGGAACGCAAGCTCAAGAAGCAGGAGCGTGAAAGGTCTAATGCTGCTCAGACTGGCTAGGATCCGAAGCAGCGCCACATCTGTTGCAATCACAGCCTACACATGTCCCCTTGATGAGGTGCTGCAGTGAAGTGACTCAAGTCTGATCGTCTAGACAGCGAGATGATTCTGACAGCTGATTCACGCCGCTCCGGGCCTTCTCCTAAATCTCCCACAATCTGAAACCAACACTCCGTTCTCCGCCTGGACAGCTCTGACCTATTCAGCTTTCACAGGCGACTTCCCGTCTGTTGAAGGTGAGGGCATTTGGGGTTCGGTGCGATGAACCCCGTGATCGCATTCTGACCGAGTCGCTCGTGCTTGTGTCGGCATGACCTCCCCGAAGGAAAGCTTTGGCTAGAAATCAGAAATGGCCGTGCGCAGAAGCGGAAGCGGAAAAATTGGCATGCAGAAGGCTGCGAGCGGGTCCCGTGGCTGCGCGTGCATGAAACCTTGACAGCTCGCGATTCCGCAGGTCGCTTGCCACTTTGCGACCAGCGTGAGAACGTGGAGGTCGACGAGACGCAACTCTGCTGCAGCCAAAGTCCAGGAACAGCACCAAGTCCTTCCAAAGCAGACCCTGAGCCGGATGGAGCCGCTGTAAAGGTCCGAACAACCCAGGCTGTCGCAGGCTCACCGTCCGTCATCGAAAGGTCGGCTTTAGAAGCTTCTGGCGGTGGAGTCGGCGCTCAGGCAGTGACCGTGCCCTCGCGTGCAAGAGCGTGGTGGTTCGCATGAATCAGGTCGCTGACTTTCCCGCAGATACACACGGGTCGCAGCTTGGCTGTGATTGTCAGAGCCAAGGCAACACGCCATCATCGGTGTGAAAACTTTAAAGTTCGCACGGCAGCGACCTATCCCGCCCTCGCTCCTTCCTTCCGGTCCTCATCCATTCTCAGTCACTTCGCCCGGCGTCCCAAGCGCGGTCACAATTCTGCTGCCACTCGCACTTTGACCTTGGCCGGCTGGACTGTGCAACGACAGCGAGGGTGTGACCTGCGTATCTCCCCTCGGGCCTTCCGACATCAGCCTCCTGCTCATCTCACTCAGCGTCGACGACCGCAACGGATTCTGCTGCGCCCTCCGAAGCTTCAGTCCGCCGACCGCCCAGCTACTTAACTACTTAAAGGGCCTTCCGACACCCTCGACGTCTCTTCCCCGCAGGTCAGAAGCACAGAGCATCGACGCCGCCTCTCAGACCACGTTCGCCTGCGTCTTGTCTTGTCTCGACCGATATCGACTCCAGCACGACTTGTCCGCATGTCAGCCGCCATGTCGCCCGAAGCTACCGAGGAGCGCAAGCAGCGGGCTCCAGCTGCCACCGAAGAGACCCGCCGTCTACTCGGCCCGGCGCTCAGCGGCAAACATGCCGATCTCACCGAGCACCTCCGCAAAAGGCAGGTCGCCGATCTCGCCAAGATCTCGGAGAGCGGCACCGGCATCCTTGGCTGGTTCTCGACCACCCTGTCGGACCTCTACACCTACCTCTTCGTATGGTTCCCTCGAACCTGGTGGATCACGCTCACCAGCTTGCCTGGCTACCTGCTTGACCCTCTGGGCCTCGGCACCACCCTCATCTTCGCTTTCGGAACCACGATCATCCTGCTGATCGGATTGACGATCAGGTAAGCGTCCCTATCATTGCCCTTATTCGCCTCGTCTTCGTTCGCTGACGTTTCCATGCTTTCTGCCCGCCGTTGTCCGACGTATTCAGCGCCATTTGGAGACTCCCCATCGTGCAATCGTACTGGCGACCGTACTCGAACAAGAAGGACATCGGCCTCGCCAACATGTGTAGGTATCCTTGTGCACAGGTGAAGTACTCTGCGTGCCTGGATCGCCGATGCTGACCACCTTGTCGTTCGCACTTGCAGTCTATCCTCTCATCTTCGAGTTTGGCGCCGATCCTCAGAACAAACTCATCCGAGACGCAGCCTTTACGGTCATGTCCGACCCCACCGGAACGTACGCTCAGCCCTCGTCCGACCAGCAGCGTTCCTTTGACCTGGAGATCTGCAAAATTCTCATGATGCTCTCGGCGCTGGTGTACGAGCGCGATGTGGGAGCGTACCACGAAGCCGCCATGTCGGCGCACAAGGCCAAGAAGCTGAAGAAGAGCCTTCTGATGGGCAGCGACACGCTCACCGACGCCGGCAAGGACGCCTACAAGAAGCTCGCCACGGCCGACCGCAAGATCATCAAAGTCGCCAAAGAATGGGGCCTCAACTACGTCAGCGTTTCCGAGCTGGCCACCAACACGTCGCCGCTGTGCGGCGCGTTCTGGAACCCGGACTACAACTTTTTGATCCTGGCCTTCAAGGGCACCAACCCGGTCGAGTTCAAGGAGTGGGCGATCGACATGACCTTTGACTACGTCGACGGCCGCGGCTGGCTGCCCGGCTACACCAAGGCTCACGCGGGCTTCTACAACCAGCTCTTCCCGCAGTCGCTCAACAAGAAGACGGGCGCCTTCCCCTACTCGCAGATCCGCGCGTCTGTCGCGGACATTGTCCGTCAGATTCGCGCCACGACGGGCAAGGACCACGTCAACCTGTACGTGACGGGCCACAGTCTAGGAGCCGCGCTGGCTTGCGTCTTCTACTCGCGTGCCATTGCCTCGCCCAAGGACTATGGTCTCAACGAGCAGGGAACCAACCAGGTTTATGTCCGCGACGCCTACACGTTCGGCACGCCCATCGTCGGCGACCCGGACTGCATCTCAGCCTTCAACCAGGCCTGCCACGATCGCGATCTCGACCATCCGCAGGCGCTGTGGCGCGTCACGAGTCGCCGCGACTCGATTGCAACGATGATGCCCGACGCCGGCGACTTCAACACGCTCAAGCACATCAGTCCTACCAGCCAGCTGCACTTTGCTCACATCGGCCAAGAGGTGCAACTGTCGAACGACATCCGCAAGGTCTACACGGGCCCCGGCACGGCGCTGCCCAAGCAAACGCCCGTCAACATTGTGACGCACCTCGACCGCGGCGGTGTCGGACCCGAGGTCAACCTGCCTGGTTACTTCTGGTTCCTCGAACGCACGCCTGTCATCAACCGCATGATTGCCCACCTGCCCGCGTCGTACTGGGACCGCCTGAGCAAGGTGCGCTCCGAGTACGACATCGAGTACATCGACTGGCACTGAATCGGCTGCGCATGTCTATCCCCCGAGCAATCCAATCCCCGTGTTGCCGATTCGCGCGAAGATCGTTGGTGGCAGATGCCGAGACTCGGCGAAAGAAAGTCCAACACCGATGTGCGATTTACCGACCGCGCAAGTGGTCGTGTTTTGCGCGCTTTGACGGAGCTGACGGGGTGATTCCATGTCGAGACTGAAGCAAGCATCGGCACAAGGCGTGGCAAAGCGAAAAGAGTTCGTTTGAACGGCTGGTGACTACTTTTCACAGACGGTGTCTAGAGCACAGTTCGATTTGCACTGCTCGCATGCAATGCTCCCTCGCGTGCCACGGGACGCACGGGGCAAAAGCGCGGTCGATGGCCGGTGTTGTTGCATCGGCGACAGGGCGAAAAGGTGCAGTCCTTTCATTACGCGGGTGGCTCTTCGTTCGGCAGAACCAGCAAACATTCCCGCATCCTCGGAAGTATAAGGGCAGTTCCATCCCATCGAAGTTCACCCAAGCAGGGACATAAGTGTTGTCGTTGCGGGCTTCCCGGTACGTGGCCAAGAAGGCGACCGTGCCATTGAAACTGCGAGTCATGTCCTCGTAAACGCTGAAGTCTGCAAACAAGTCGGTCACCGCAAGGTCGAAGTTGAAGCGCTCGCGGAACGCCAGAATCGTAAGCGGCAGGTCAAAAGGAGGAGGGGGGGGGG